CTGGCAAAATACTGTGCAACCTCTTAATCCAGTCTCATATCGTAGTTTTCAAAATACTAAGAGATCAAAGAAATAACAATTGCTTCAAAGTCTGAGAAATTGTAGGATGTGACTTAAAAGTCTCCTCAGTTTTTAAAAAGGCTCGTGATTTATCCTGACATACTAAAATATTAATAAAATAACGCAGACAGACAAAAAGGTAAAGCCAGTTAATGACTATTACTTCGCTACCTTCCAGCAACCTGGATTTTTTTGCAGTTGTAAAAGCTAGAGACTAATGGTTCAGGAGGAAGAGACTGCAGAAATATCAATATTCACAGATAGAAAAAAAAATAAGAATATACAAATATAAGCCTCTTCCAAGTCCTGCCAACTCTTGAATCACTAAAATATCTACAGACTCAGGCAAATGGCTTCAGGACTAGTGCTTATTTTTAAATCAAGTTCTATGTTGCAAAGGATTTCAAACAGTATCTTCCTTTGACACTCGTCTATTTTTTTCTTATTTGATCCTCAGATCTATTATAACACCTAATAACCAAAAACCCCTGATATTTTTTGTCTCTCAGATTTTCTTATCCCAACAGTTTCTGTCTGAATATCTGCTTCTTAGCTGTGAGCATCCTATCTTTTCTACAATAAATGTATTCATTGTACACCCCTGATTTCTCTCTTATTACGAGACTCCTTACTACTTAATATCCTTTCTATATGCCAAAACATCTAACTTTACCAGCAGGATTAAAGTTGTGTGCCAAATATCTTCTTTTCTTATTGATTATGACCACTGTGTTGTACAGCTGCATCTTTTAAATTACATAATTTTGTTATATCATATTTTAGCTAGCCTACGTATTATCCTGCTTATCTGGCAGTGTTATTACCCTTCAAGCTTCCACAGTGCTGTCTGCTATTTCTATGCGATAACATTCCTCAGTATTTTCTGTTTGTTCCTAACCAGCTGTACAGCCCATATGTCATGCCATTCCGTTTGTCTTCACTATCTTATCTCCATCTTTACCCATATCTCAGGTGTTTGGTAAGAAAGCGTCTGCATCTCAGACTTAGTAACTGGAAAACAAAACTGTTTCCAGCACTAGATCTACCAACTTTCTTCTTGGAAGTCAAAATAATTCCATTAAGTGAAATCATAAGCATTCTACAGTGAGTTTACATCATTGCTTGATTCCTGTGAATAGCACAAACCACATTTCTGGTGCTTTGATAAACTCCACAAAACTGACAAGGTCTTTGCGTTTTGTAATTAGCCATTGTCTTTCCCCACCTCTCTTTACTGCTACCAATAAAAACCAGGCTAGTATTTTGTAGTCAGTTCTGAGCATATTCCAGGATTCACCGAGAGATAAATATAATTCCAACATGCAGCTACACTGTTCAGAAACTTCTGTGCTCTCCTTTCAGGTACCTGTGTATCCCTAACTGCATCCATTATAAGCTCATTTCACTAAAAACTTTTTTTCATTTCAACAGTACATGATTCCAGCTGGGTGCTGTACACAGAAGGTTCTTTAAACTTTTCCAAAATCCTGTGCTTATGCTAAAACTTGAAGATTTTCTGAAAAATTTTCAGCTGTAATATATATAAAACCAGTTAATGTTCTAACGATTTTTTAAGACTATTTTCTACATCTTATAGTTTATTTGTTCTGTGTTCAGATCCTGTATTACAGCAATGGCCAATGAGATCACTTGCCAAATTCTTTGATGAGCTGTTCCAACATCATATTCCCCAGTGGCGGCTGCTCCTCCCTCACTGTCATCTCTTCTTTTTTTCCCCTCATTTTGCATGCTTTATAACTTCCCTGTTGATTTCACTCTACAGCACCACTTGTTATCAGTTTAATCTTTCTTTCCTTTTTCTTTTTTTTTTACTGGAATGGTTTTAAAAACAGAAGTCAAAATATTACAAACTTACCATATGGTAAACAATCTTCTCTTTTGCCGTGTTTAAATAACTGTGCCTAAAATTACAATAGGGAAAACAGACATGAGAATATAGAGATTCTAAAGCACAATATATCAAGCATATAATTCTAAAATACTTTTTGTCATTCCTGCAATAACCTGTAGTGTTTGCTAATTCAAATAGCACAAAGGGAAAAGAATCTCTGGGTTCAGTTTTACTTCTTTGAAGGCAACGCAAGCCAAGGATCCTGTAGCCCAGCCCTTGCCTCTCATCCATACAATCATGCAGGCAAGCCAACTCAGAACTCAGGGAGCTGAGCTGGCCAAAAAGACACTCAAGAGAGAACAGGGAGGGGAAAAAAAAAAAAAAAAAAAAAGAGAGAGAGAGAGAGAGAAAAAAAAAGCCACTAGATTTCAGCCAGCTCAGCTCTCTGAACCATCCAGCTCAGTGCTTGGTCACTCGAGCTCAATGCAGGTGCAACCACAGCACCTATTATCTCAAACAGCTCATGTTGCTTTGAACCTCTAAAAAGTGAAGTAGAATTTCTAGAACATGAATAAAGGCAGAAGAACCAGGGGAACTCTATAGGCTGTCTGGGACTTCCTGACACTGAATGTCTCCAACCTGAACAAGCCCTGCTCATGATTTAGACGACCCAGCACACATCAACACTTTGGTCACTGCTGAGAAGCAGGATGGGTGGACACATGTGAGCGAGCTTAGTTATTAGTAGCAACCACACATGGACAGACAGGACACAGCACAGGCTAAACAGCCAAGTATTTTACCCTGTTTCTCTAACAGCTTTTGAGAACTCCATGTTAAAATAAAACCAGCTACAGAAATCTCTGACTGCAAGCCTGCTACAAACACACCTCCAACAGGCAAACTTTAATTCCTGTGCTGAGGGATTTAAAGATGCAAAGAGCTTCCAAAATAATTTTATATAGTTAAATATCCCAGTAAGGTTAGGCCCCAGCATTACAGACGAATGGACTATTAACACCTGATAAAAACATGTTACACATTGAGTTTTCTCAGTTCACTCAGTATGCATCAAAACGGCTGTGCTCAGGCACTTATTTTTCCTTGCTTTGTCATTCACCAAGAGAAAAATCCTCCTCCATAAATATGCCTAGGAGTTAAACAAGAACAGACTTACCTTAAAAATATGTACTTTCTCACACATACCAAACACACACATGCCTCCCATACTGCAGGTGTGGTTAAGAGCAACAAAGGCAATAAAAACACCTTCAGGCTATGTACCCATTCTATTTTGCTTTGTTACTAAATTGCATTTTAGGATCCTAAATTAGTACTTCTGATCAGCTGTACTACAAGCTATATAGGGGAATTTGATAGTATATATTGAATTATTTAAGATATTTAATGCTTTCACAAGTAACTAGGCAACTGTAAAGCTTCCTTTAAAAACTACACTTACAAAGCAGTAATGCTATAGAAATACTTCAGGCGCAGAAGAACAGCTAACACAAGTAGCCACCAACACAAATACAGCATAGCTCTTATCCATATACCGTATCAGTATCCAAAACCCAAAATATCTCCCACAGACATACAACAAAACTCTGCTTGTATCAAAAAGTCTAAACGAAAGAAAAGATGACAGAAAATCTGCAAATCTTTGGTACAATTAACAGATCTAGAACGCCTCTAAAATTCTTCTACTTCTTTGCTGATACATGCAGAATCTTATTTCTTCATCACTTTGTTCCTGTGTTCTGTTTTAAAACCCCTGGTTTCTTCACAAGGTTAGCAAGTTTGTCGTGGATGCTAGGAGATACTGCAGCACTTCTGCAGCACCTTATCTTCACAATTACTTCTCCTTTCTGTAATAAAAGCCCAGTTTAGAGCAAATACTGTTTCTAAGGCACACACAGGCTGCCTCCAAATTATTAGGATTATCTTCAAGCATATTCAAACAAAACTCAGTATAATTCCTGAAGCAGTGACAATGTAGAGAAACAGCTTTTTAATACAGCCTTGGGAATGCTCCTGGACAAATGCATTTGGATGTCTACGCTCACACTTGTCAGCATACTGCCTAGGAGCTCCTGCAAAGATGGAACAGAATCCTCAAAACATCTACATATTTTCAGTGCTACGTAGTTCCTAAATTCTGGCACCTTTCTACAAGTTTCTCTGTGAGTTTTCACATCCTTGAGGCCAACTTTGAATACATTTCTGACTCCTCAGGAAAAACCTAACTAGAGGGTACCACCTCTAAGCAAGACGGGGGAAGAAATTAACCAACACACAAGCAGGAAACAAGAAAACTCTTCAAATACTGTACAAGAATTTTTTTTAATGCTTTTCTAAAAAAAATAAGAAAACAGCCTCGCAGACCTATGAATCCATTTAGAACAGTGAATTTGATAGTTTCCATTTGACAACCATTTCTATTATTTTCTGAACAAAAAAGTGAATCATACATTGTTTCTCTACAACAGTTTTATGACATACTTATGTAACAAACAATTCTCATACCTAATATTCAACACAGAACACCTATTCTCAAACAAAATACTGTAAAAATTTATAATATACTTTCAGACGTTAAAATTATCATCAACTGCTGTAAATCAATTGAGATATGGATTAAGGGTTTTGTTTTATTGATACAAGTTTTTAGGGGAAGTAAAAATCAACCAAAGAACACGATAGCTATCGTATTTAAATTCATAACTAAAAATTGGGCCTTAATATTTACATATTTTTTCTTCAGTAAAATATGTTACCTACTGATTCTGAAACAAACGCAGCTGAAAATGCCGAATGTCCAAAATAAGAGAAAGCTCTGTTTGTCCCCACTGATGTACACTGCAGGTCAGATATAACCTTCTACCAGATTACTGGTGTTTCAGCGAGTGACACATCAGGTATTTCTCTGTATCAGAGAAAAGTTTAATGGCCATTTTTAAAACCATTTTTATAGAAGTAAATAGGTAGCAGCCGAACTGTTGAGAACTACTCTTCAGATATTCAACACAGCAGGAAATCCTGTGTCTGGGGTTTTTTTCTGATTGTAAAAGTGTCAAGAAAAGAAGTTTTCATTACTTCTTTATGAGTCAAAGCATGCAAAAGCATTCATAAGGCCACATTTTGAGCTTTTGAGATCTATTTTCCAGAGAAAATACAAGAGCACTTTAACCAATGTTGGCCTTCAGGGGGAGGGGGAAAAAAAAAAAAAAAAAAAGTATTTTCTTCCGGTAAGCCTACAAACAGTCATGCACGTAAGGCAAAGTTACTGTCTCAGAAAAATGCTGCAAACCTAGAGCTTACAGAGGTTACACTAAAAAGAAAAATACATGATGCATAAACAGAAAACATAAAAAAAACACATAGAAAAAAGGCTGAATCAGCATTACGGTATTCAGCTTAAACTTCCTGCCTTGAAGGAAGAAAAACATCCAAGGCACACCATTTCAAAAAATCTGATACAAACAAAATAATTAATAAGCTTGGTTTGCCACCTGCATAGACATTTTAGTGTCAGCAACTAGCAACACTGAAAGTAAGGAGCCTGTCTGCTGGAGTATCCAGGCAATCAAAGTTACGCCATGGTCTCTTCACTTTAATGAGGACATACACCAACTTACCCAACCTGTTGAACTGTTGAAAAGTATGTGACTCCCTCTCTTATAAATAATTAAGCCACCTACAAATTAGAGAAAATCAGTGGTGTGCAAGCAATGACGACTGTCAAGTCTGGTTTTGCTTTAGAAATAGCATGGTGCAAGGAAAACAAAGCCTAGTTTCTTAGTAATCACAGAAGAAACACACCACACCTTCCAATTGTCTGCATAACCCACTTTAGGCCCGACCTTCATGAGATATATCAATCAGGATCATCTCCAGGACACGTTCCCCAAGCTATACAAATCACCATTAAGGGTGGCCTGACTGTTTGGTAGCAAGTATATCTTCCTGCCAAGCAGGAGACACAAGTCTGAATCTACCCTCTGGTTGTAACCAACCAAGTCAAGGACTGGGAGGATAATTTCAGTCTCTATGGGAAGAGAAGAAAATGATATCTTTCATTACTCTGGAGCACCCCCTAGTAGTCACACAACACCCAGGTCCAGAGAAAGCTATCAGCCATCCCTGCCTCCAGGCCAGATGTGGGGAGGTAAACAAGGCAAGGGAGGACATGCTGTCAGAATAATAAGTTCACTTGAAAGTAGATAATATTTAATGTATTATCTGTGCAGCTAATGGTAAAATAAATTAGTTAAAGCCCTTGTTCTTACTATGCCTTCAACACAAATAGTACTCCTGTAGGTCACACATATTTGTCAGGGTATTGATCCTCAACATGGTACTTAAGCTGACAAACTTCAATACAGAGCCCAGTTAAATGGGTGGCAAAAGGAGTTCCGTTTTCATAAGATCTTAGTTATGTATCAGTTGAAAGCCTGAAGAGTGCCAACTAACACACGGAGAGCTAACAGGATAGTTCCTTTTCATCTTAATAAGACTACCCAAAAACACAGATTTTAAATACTTGCAAGAAAAAAAAAATTAGCAGCTTCAGACAGCACTATATTCTAACAAGAAAAAGAAATAGTCTCACGATAACAGAACTGCTGACCCTTGAATTAACCGCAACACTTCTGGTGAAAAGGAAAAACCTCAGGTATCAGACAAGGCCACACTAGAATACTCTGTGCCACGGAGAAAGAGAGGAGATACAGTATTACCAGAAAGGGGTCAATGCCCTTCGTATCTGTACACGTAAGAATATTTTCTTCTCCTTATATCAACACTGCTTTTTGTACACCTTTATCACCAAACCACTAACCAACGCCACCTTTTTAAAAAAATAACGCCAATAGACAATCCTAGAATCGCTAACACTTTGAGAATGCCAAAAATACAGAGACTTGGGAAACATTCTATTTGGAAATACTCTATTTTTGTGCCTCTGGGTCTGAAAGAATAGACTTAGAGAGTTCTTTCTTCCCTGGAGCAAAATTTACATAAGCATGTCGCTATTGCTAAATAAATTTTGCATTAGAGACTGCTCAGGGAAATGCCCTGTTCTTAAGACTCTCGAGTTTCATCAGATCACTGTGTAGGGCGTTTTATTTTTTTTAATTATTACTCACACTTGTATACTGAATCACTTATAAAACAAATAAGGTTTAATAAGTTTCAGTGCCCAAGGCTACCTCAACATGATGACATCTCTGTCACGCAAGAACTGGGAGTGCTACACCCTGCAGCAATAACTAAAAAGCTGTTTGATATAATGGCAGGTTTAAAAGCAAACCTCCAGACCAAGAGAATTTAAAATGCAGATTCTTGAAACAGGTTAGAAGTTTCCTTCAAGTAAACAAACGTTATTAAAAAATGTAGCAATTTCTTATTAATCCAACACTTATAATCCTTCAAATACACCAAGTACCCAAGCCCAAAAGCGACCTTACTTCAGTACTGCAATGTTAGTTTCAGCAAAAGGGGGAGTTTTAAAAACCGAATTTGAAATACTGTAAGCAAAGACTCCTGCTAGTGCACACCTGTTGTGAAATGATATATTCCTGACGACAGGTGTAAGAAAAAAAGAAAAAAGCAGCAGTGGAATTAAAATATGTAATGCAGGCTGCGTGTTTCAACAAGAATCATGAAACAGTAGTACTTGTTCTACACATAATGCTGAGTTAGATTAAACAGTAGCATACCTAATCACCAAGACTTAAGGCCACGAAGAGGCAGATCAAAGTGCAGCAACGTCGAACTACTCATTGCGTACCTAACTTGCAGTTTCAGTTCATTGAAATGCAAGAGTTTCACGTCTTTTTAAAACAGTTTTGCCAGGCCAATCTCACTACGAGCTATTTCCTAAACACAGACCAGAAGCAGCATAATATCATAACCCAACCGAAACCCACCCTGTTAGGGGCAGCTCTAAATTGACCTGATGAAGAGAGACAAAGATTTTTTTATCCCCACCCTGGTGGGTTGTTACATTCCTGAAACTTGTTACATTCCTGAAACCTGCCTTGCTGTACTGACTGGAAACCCCAAAATGCCCCTTTTTCTCCTGCTTGTTCAGAAAGAAATGCCCGGGCAACTACAGTTTGACTCTTGAAAAGTATCAAATTGCTGGAGGAATCCAAGGGCAAAGAATTTTGAAGCTTGTTGACACAAGTTTTAGTTGTCCCTCATGAGGATGTGTTCTGCTTTACACACTTAGCAATTACTTACTAGTTTCTGTACAGACTGTTAGAATCCTGTATGTTTAAGAGAAAAGGTTTACATATTTTAAACACTTTTATTTTCAGCTGATATTTTTGGTTTAACAACATGCTGTTGTTACAAGTGTGGTACAAAATTCTTAATATTAAACTCTCGAAGTAAGTATTTCCTACTCCACTTAAACATGTCTGCATACACACATACCTGCATACATATCACTCTGAAAACCTTTATACCCTAATGATATAATTCACGCTTACATTGTAGTAACTGAAATTAAAAATTGAAGACTGAAATAAAGAAAAGGCTTTAAAAATTCAGTCTGCTCATACCTACCAACTGGAACAGGAGTTAGGGGCTGTAGGACACGAATAAAACTGGCCTGATAAATACCTTCTCCTATCCCACAGAGGAGGAAAAAAAAAATCATATAAATGCAAGAAGGCAGGCTTCTGCTTCCAGGTATATTGTATCACATTCTAGTTTCGATTCTACTTGTTAAGTATTCACCTGTTTCGCTTAGTATGCACTAATGAACAGGTGGATAGAGCCAAAGCCAAACTCAAAGGAATTATGACAAAACACTAATGTATTATACATCCTACAGGTCTCATCATGCACCTAGAATGGCAGTCAGTCAGTCTCCCTTTCCAGATCTGACAATAAAATGATGAAACATCATTCTGTCTTTTGAAACATACTGCAATGCATACAAATAATGCTTCCTCCTGCTTAAGCAGCAAGTCCGAAGTTATTCTAAATATAGATCATTTCTTGCATCTTCTGATTTGGAAGAGCTGCTAGAGGGGGAAAAAAAAAAAAAACAAAACACAAAAAAAAAGCCCCCACACAACAAAAAACCAAAACCCACACACCACACACTTGTTCCAGAACTTTGATTTGGCATTTAGTAGCATACTGCATACAAGTCCTCATAGCAATTATTTTAAAAGAGCTGCAAATTTATGCAAATTATAGAAACTTATACAAACACCAGCAAATCCTTAAATCTCTGCAAAGACTGTACAGGAGCATGTCATCTGATTTTGCTTGCACCACCTCGACTTTGGTCAACAACAGAAGAAGGTGGTACAACTCCACCGACACAAACTCCACCATTCCACCCAAATATATTTGGCTATCAGAACGGGAACAGATACCAGAACTGTTATTCAAGTATTTCAAAATGCACAGCACCACTTTTAAGGGTGCACAACTACAAGAAAGCTTTTATAAAAAGGTATTCTTAGAATGTACAAGAGCAGTTTCATCATATAGTAGTGGTTCAGGTATTACAGATTTTCTCCCATGCATAGTATATAAATTTTAAAACCCAAACTAAGAATTCAGCCCTTTGAGTCATAAACTATTGTTATTTCACACGGTAAGGAGCACTAAAAAAAACATTAGTTCAGATTAGCAAGCAAAAACATAGGAAATGGTGCGTTTTTTCAGACTATAGAAGGACACTGTCTAACAAGTTCAGTATGTCTTACTAAACTGTTGAGAATAATATTTTAGTTGAAGAACGGATACAACTTGCACAAATCACTCGCATTTTGGTTATCAGTTATGAAAAGTCTAGGAGACACCACTACTGTATCAGAAGGCCAACATCTTAATTTTGTACAGTTCCAATTTTTTAATTTATTTCAAAGGCTTTTGTTCAAAAAAGAAAAAAAACAACACCAAACTGAATAACAAAATTACTGCTGATATATAATCAGATATTTAAAAGCATTTTTGAGAGTTATTTATCAGTATCTATACTGGCAACTTCAGTTTTATTTAGCGATGACAAGAATACTTAAAGAAAATACTCATGCATGGGAAGGTACATCTCCATGTTGTGGAGGAAATTCTGGCTGTATATTATCTTACTTTTTTTTAATAAACAGGAACCTCTCTGCACATTTGCTATGAAAGGTCTACCACAGCAGTATCATAAGATCATAAGCATAATCATTTATTTTCAAAGGAAAAACAGTATTTACCAGGGCCTGGAGCATGCCGTTCATAACAACAGTCCCCTCCATGCTCCGGAAGGAGGATTTAGACAACATTGAAAGTGTCCAGTCCAGGAAGTCTGCCATCCTTTTTTGCCTCACATCAGGGCGGACAATGAATCTGCCACAGAAAAAAAAACCAAAATACTGCAGTTACTAACTTTATGACTCTCAATGGAAAATATTTTTTCCTGCTATCCAAACTGGTTGCAGCGCCTAAAAACAATTCTCCAATGGAAATTTTCCTAGATTGCTGAGGGTGGGAACACGCCAAACCAGCATTATGTTTAGCCCTTCTGTTTCTGAGCAAGGCTCTGACCCAGAATTCCACAATCACTTCAAACCAATCTATAAACCTGGATTCCAGAGATTTCTCATCTCAATTGTAAAGCAACAAAGGTCCCACATAAAAATTATTTCCGTGACAATTAGTGAAAAGCTGAAACAAATACGAGGACTCTCCACCATTCTCACCAAGAACAGCTATTTTGCAAATCTGAAAATTGGTGCAAATCAACAACTGGTCCGTACCGCACTGTTATCAGCCATAGCTGATTTTTTCAGGTATTTGAAAAGGTGAAACACCTGTTATTTAACACACTGGATGGGTCGAGAGATGCATTTTTACCTATCTTACAGAGTGCAAAAAAGGTTCATCATGGTTAAACTACTTCTGTAGTCAGTCATCATCACTGCCAGCCAAGCTACAGTTAGGGCATCTGCTTCAGTTACCTAATTTAGTATTCTTAGCACCTAAAAATTAGGGTCCTGTTCCAGCAGAGATTCAGACTAAACTAAGAAACTTTGTTCTCAATGCAATCAAAGGAAACAAGGTACATGGGAAAGCCCACAAAGTATATATAATTCATAGTGCTTAAAGAAGGATGTATGCAGAGCCTGTACCTGGTTACTTTATACAGCTACAAATTAAATGGGGAACCGCACCAAGAGCTACCTAACGGGGAACATCACAGAGAACACGGGAAACAGTGCGCAGACATGTGATCACTTGCATCGTCTTCAAAGTAGTATCTATTGTGTTCAGCAAGTGAACAATGAGGACTGAGAATAGAACAATGAGGAATGAGAACAAATACAGGCTGGGCGATGAGCGGCTCGAGAGCAGTCCTGGGGAGAAGGACTTGGAGGAGCTGGTGGCTGGAAAACTGAACATGACCCGGCAATGTGCGCTCGCAGCCCAGAAAGCCAGTTGCACCCCGGGCTGCATCAAGAGCAGTGTGGCCAGCAGGTCGAGGGAGGGGATTCTGCCCCTCTGCTCTGCTCTGGTGAGACCTCCCCTGCAGGGATGCATCCAGCTCTGGGGCCCCCAGCACATGAAAGATATGGACGTGCTTGAATAGGTCCAGAGGAGGCCACGAAGCTGCTCACGGGGCTGGAGGAGCTCCCCTGTGAGGACAAGCTGAGAGAGTTGGGGTTGTTCAGCCTGGAGAGAAGGCTCCAGGGAGACCTTATAGCAGCTTTCCAGGGCTGAAAGGGGGCTGCAGGAAAGGCGGGGAGGGACTCCTGATCAGCGAGAGTGGTGGTAGGACGAGCAGAGATTTAATTAGATATTGGGAAGAAATTCTTCCCTGTGAGGGTGGTGAGGCCCTGGCACAGGCTGCCCAGAGCAGCTGTGGCTGCCCCCTCCCTGGCAGTGCTCAAGGCCAGGCTGGATGGGGCTGGGAGCAACCTGGTCTGGTGGGAGGTGTCCCTGCCCACGGCAGGGGGGGGGAACTGGGAGATCTTTTAGGTCCTTTCCAACTCAAACCATTCTGTGATTCTATTCTATGACTCTATGATTTGGGGCAGGGGGGCGTGTTTTATAACAGAGCAGCAGGGACAAAGCCTTCTTTGGCACAACAATACAGGTAAGAGAAGTAATCTGTAAAGTAGATGAACTGGTTTCCTAGGCCCTTTCACAGCCCAAAGGAGTTTAAATCTTAATTTCTGAAAGGAGTGCCCTAACCTCCAGACTAGAAGCATAGGATAAGCCTCATCTCCTCCTAATGCAACCAAGTGACTGAGCAGCCAAGAAAGAGAATCCATGAAACAAACTCCAGTTCCTTTGCCCTACAAAACGTAAATTACTTTGGAAAACAGCAAGTCTTGGATCCTGATGTTTCTAAACTTCACTTGAAATTCATGAACTCCTTAGAGAAGGAACCAGAACCCAGACTCCCTCTTTCTTCCCAAGGAGTTTCCTACTCAGCATGTTAGAGACTCCTGTTTCTTATCTGTCTGTCCTAGGACTTTTGTATTCCTCCTACCCAACAGTCTAACTTCAAGAAGATGAAACAGTGATCTCATGTCAGAATAACTATGTCCATTCATTAAAGAACTGTTTTGGGATGCGAAAGCACTGAATTCAAGTGCACCAAGGCCAAAAGGTCTTGGACTTGGGTCTTCTAATTTCTGGTGAAGTGTTTTAATCATTAGGCTATTTTGAAAATTGTGTTTCCATAATAAACTAACTAAGCACACTAAATAGTAATTTTGCTTCCATTACAGCCTTGCACATCTTGATACAGCCAGTACTAGAACCAGCTTAATGTATTCTATCACCTTACTTGTTAGGAATATATGCTTTTAATAAAAATTAATTCAGCCAATAAAATGGAAGCAAACATAAGACAACTGTTAATACCAGGGGACTAGGGTACTGTGCAGGTATGAAATTCAGGGTTCAGAACTGCATGAACACAGTTTTGCTGAATGCAATGCTGTAATCAATCATGTTACTACATATGTGCTTCCACTAGTAATTTAGTTTTAGATAGCCTGAAGAGCAAATGAAGAGCAAATTCAATTAGTATAATGTGATGAAAGTATCTTTTAAAATTACTGTAATGTTTACTTGAGAAGGCTTCCAAACACTGGGTGTACCTTCCAAAGTCTATCATGGTTGATTTAGGTATTTTTCTGGAGTTTTAGGAATTGGCATATTCAGGCATATATGAATGCTCAAGAACGATTCAGTCTATGTCACACTTTCACCTCAAATCCTCTGCTTCTGTCAACTGCTGACAAGGCAGATGACCGATGCAGATATATAGAAATCCTATAAAAGCAACTTCCGATTATCACTTCCAAAACGACTGCAAAAACTAGTTAGGATAAGGAGACAAATCTACATCCTGTCACATGGAAATAAGTATGTAATAGGCAAGATTATTTATTAAAGAGTATCCAAATGATTCATGCATTCACTTAAATTTTGCTCTGAAATATTTCAGCGTAAATCAGAAAAGTACAGGACTAGTCACCAGAGAACTGTCTCAACTGTTTCATGAATTTTCCACATGACACTGTCAGTTCTAAAACAAAACAGTGTTTGTTTTGTCATCAGATTCAGAACTGTAGCATTATACTCACTAAATACAAATTTCTAAAGCATTGAGTCCTGTGACTGAAGTTCAGAATAAATTTAAAATAAGTACATGGACAGTTATTTCCCAAAAGGCAGCTAGGATCTGCTCTACTAAATGTTATACTTACAACTATTTTGATACAACTAAACACACAACTTTTGTGCCTCTTAATCCACAGAAAAACATTAACACAGATTTTATTGTTCAGACTAGCAACCCACATCCACTCTCATCATTTTATCTTGTTCACCTTACAGTCTCTGCTCCTATAGCTACAGTGGCAAAGCTATGTTAGCAGAGCCCCCTAGTGTAGATAGAGTATATGCTCGTGTAAAGATTCTGGAGGTTTGCTTGCTTTGAAAAGAAAGATGAAAAGAAAAAACAAATGACAAACTAAGCTGTCTAAAGCCCTCTTCTGCTAGAATACATTGGAATATGTACTGTGATACATATTGGAAAAAAACATACATGTGTATTAGCACATTTACAGTCTTTGGTTTCATGTGTGATGCATATGGAAATAAATTACAATCTCCACTAATGCACTAGGAAAGGAAAGAAGAGATACAGAAGTTCATTATTTCAAATTTATAAACAACCCTAGCATCAGTATTACTGCAGTGATGCAAAAAAAGTCAGAACAACTGCACCTCTGTCACAAGTTGTTCAGTGTCTGAACACCAACCGTGTAAAACAACGGGATGTAGAAAGTTCCATTATCCTGCACCTGTTTCATTTGATGAATTATTTGACAACAACCAACCTAAGAAAACAGAAGTATAGTTTTCTGGATGAGAGAATGAAGAAAGTGACAAGAGGGATATTACAAAAACAAATTCTAGCATTACTATTTCCTTTTCAGTAACTTAAGTACTACTAGGAAACTTCAAGCCAGCAGTATTAGATACCCATTCTCTATGTGCCATGCAACACTGCAAAAATCAGCAGCACCACAAAGTAACCATATCTTTCTGAAACCCTGCAGCCCAAACCAGTCCCTAGAGGGCAATTCGAACAGCACCCTGTTAACAGTGTATCACTTGTGATAGATACCTGTTCCTCCAGTAAGCAGAAGAAAACACAGCATTTCCAATAATCAACACACTATTTCAAGCAAGTTTAACATCCCACATACAGCTGGCACCTCCAGTCCTCCCAACGCTGTCATTAGTAGTATGTCGCACTAAAAAATGGCAGGAGAAATGGGAGCTACCTTTTCTCCTTTCTGCCAAGAAGTGCAAAAGAGACTTACTTTGAAACCAGTACAGCAGCTGCATCTTGAGCCTTATCACTGACAACCAAGTAACACTAAAGGTAAAAGAAAACTAACTGTAAAAGAATTCACACATGTTGATTTAATAACAACTACATAACAACTTTGTACATGAAGATACCACTTAATACTTATGATTACAAAAATTATGATTACATATGTTATGTAATTACTATGACTACGCACTGAGCTTAAGATCATAAAAAATTAAACTTCCCATTTAACAAACTGTGTCTCAGATAACAAAGTCTCCCTTCTAGTGTCTTTCAAAGCAAGTTTACCTTTATCAAAACCTTAACTCAGGGTCGTATTTGTGCTACTTACACGCTACAAGTGTCAAAAGCACAAGCTGTTCGGGCATTCGTGGGGAGGGGTTTGTTGTTTATTTTTATCTTAAAGGGATGACAAGTTAGCCACTTCAGCTTATGCCCAGTGAAACTTTATTATATTTGTTGAAAATTCTTCATACAGTCATAGCTTCCAATGTTGCCATCCTGATTGAACGCTAATTTCCTACATAAATCATCAAACTTGGCTTTCAGAAAGAGCTAGCTAGTATTTTCAAATGCTAAAAGCTGTTAACATAATCAAAGGCATGCATTCATATCTGACAGTCTTGTAAGAGTTTTTTTACTTCAGGGAAAACAAGTAACATCTCATCTAACATTAATACAGCAAAGTACATACTGAAGATACCAAAACTATGCAGAAATTCTTTACAGATACAGAAAATATGGACTTAAACAATATTCTGAAAAGACAATAATGTATTACATATTGAAAGATTAAGCCTCAGAAAAATATCACAGGTTTGAAAGCATTACAAGATGTATTATACTTACTTTTGCTACTTCAAGTATGCGATCCATTGTTGGCATACGAGTATGTCCTTCCTCAGAAACAATATTTCCATCAAAACGCGCCAGATCGAAAGGAATCAAGCATATCATGGAGAGCCATAATAAAAGCATATAACGAGTTTCCCAAGTCTGGAAAAGAATGGTAAAACAAAATATGCCCTCCATTTGCACTAGCTCCACGGAACTTTCAAAGTAAGACGATGAAAACCCCGAACCTGAATGCTCTGAAACACCAAAGGAGCCAGAACTACAAGCGATTCCAAACAGGAAAACTGTAACAAAATTTACAGCCCCTTCCTTCTGAATCAGAAATCCAGACAAGTTTATTTCCTTCCCAAAGGAAAACTGCACGTTGCCATTCTCCTGTTGTGTCCTTCCCTCGGGCCATTTGTGCCTCCAGTCACAAATATGAGAGAAATATATTCTTCTTCCTAATTTCTTATGTATTGCTTTCATGGGTTTACTGAAACAACTTCAGATGTGTTTTGAGATACAGACAAGAAGGAACTTTTACAAGCTTTAAAGCTGTACATCTACAACACCAGCAAAATACTCAGGATTTGTAAAGTTTATTAGAACATTATTTTCATTTAAAGCAGCAATACGATTATTGTCTTCATATCAATGACTTTTGTAACTTATAGCAGAAAATGGTCTATCTTAAAATTCAACTACCGTAATAAGCCTTCTGAATTCTTATTTTTCCTTATTCAAAAATACATGAATATGAACTACAGTATCTTGGAGCAGGACCTGATGATCCTTATGGGTCCGTTCCAACTCATGACATTCTGTGATTCTGTGACCTCAACCCATGCTTAAATTCTTTGGTTGAATATTTTTTCAAATGAGAATTCTTGCCCAGAACGTTCCCCGCCAAATAAAATTTTAAACCCGGACACATAATGAAGTGTTGTCACACTGTTTTTCAAATTGCAAACAGGTAGAAAAAAAAAGCTGAAATTCTGTGTTATTTTTTCACATCCAGGAATATATTGTTAAAACGCAAAAATCCAAGCGATTCACACCTCATGCCATAATCGTGAAATTTTCTCTAATCTTCACCTCCCTCCTTTCAAAAGGAAAGAAAAAAGAAGAAAAACAAAACCCCTCACAGATCTGAAGATAGATACTGGGGGTTGGGGAAGAATAAAACATTTTATGAAACTAAACAAGGTAAATTAACTATTGTCTTCATTTCCTCATCAAAACAGAAGTTCTCATACCAACTTCAACAAAATGTGAAGGTTTAAAAAACAACTTCTTCACATCAAGAAATAGGAATAAATACGTAAAACCTAAATACTTCATTTCCTGTGATTTTACTTTTATGACTTCAAGCTAAATTAACATGACTGTTAATGATATGCATGGCAGGAAGAGGACTTTTTAAGTTACTCCTTTTAGAAGTTCAGTATCTTTCACTGCTTTTCTTATTACTGTTGTTTCAATTAATCTGTTCCCTTACACGAGTGGCTAAAGATTTTACTTGCACCTCTACCACCATCACTTCTAAATCCTTAGAACACATCCCATGAAAGAAAAACACAAGAGCTCTCCTTCAATAAGACATTTCTCTTCTGGCAAGACGACTTTCATACTAAATCCAGGTGTGCAGTTAACACCGGACAGGTGCATCACTGCTTTATACACTTTTTTCCAGGTATTTTTCTTACACTGTTCATCAGCTTTTTCTTCTGCAGACATAAAAGTTAAACAAAAAGTACAGCAAGATCTCACCTCAGAGTCTTTTGGATTCTGGTCCACAAGCATATCCAAAACAGGCTTTAGATCACCCACTTCATGGGGAAACAGTGGGAGGAAAAGTTTGTACCCTCTCACCTGCAACAGGAAGTTTCAAAATCTAGTAAGCCATCCGGCACTGTCAAGTACCGAAGAAAAAGAAAAGAGCCTTTGAGGAGCTTCTTGTACAGAATCCTCATGTAGCAAGAACAGTAAGAATATTAATTAAGGTCTTAAATACCTTGAGATTTTTGCATTTTTACAAACTTATTAAGAACTAATTTAACTTTAAAACAAGGGACCTCTGGAGATTGTCTAGTCCAACTCCTCTGCTAAAGCACGGTCACCCAGAGCAGGCTGCCCAGAAGGGTATTCGGTACCTCCAGGGATGAAGACTCCACAAACTCCTTGAGCAATCAATTCCAGCGTTCAAACCCTCACAGTCAAAAAAACGTTTTCTTATGCTCAGATGAAAATTCCACAATCCATCTAATTCTTCATCACACTTCACACCTCTTTTTAACATTATGACTCTTGTTTTATCACTCAGTATCTCAATGTCTGCAATTTCTTTTGCATTCAGACCTTGATTTTTACTACTCTAGATCATTAAATAACATAAGCTACCACAAAAATTACAAAGACTTCATCTTTCACAGTACAGCTGAAAACATTTCATTGCATACTTAGGCAATTATTTATTATTTATTTAGTTTACTATTTTTGAAAATGGGAAATTTTTTAAAGTTACTTAAACAACAAAGAAAATATTGGAAATTTACACATTTCAGTTACAGACTTTTAAATTTGGGAGATGTTTTTACCTTTGTAATGATGTACAGAAATTTAAAAGCCAGGTGAACTAGTGGGGGAGGAGATCCATTGTCCCGTACTATATCCAACAATGAATTCATCATCCACTCTAATGAAAGGAGAGGAAAAAAAGTGAGACTACATGCAGTTACCTTACAGTTTCTCATACTTCTAATAATAAAGAGATAGTACTCATATAAGTAATATCAACCACAGCAATCTTGTAATGCAAATACGGACCTTCTATTTAACAGATTTTCAAGTATACACCCAAAAATTATTTAAAGATGACATTCCTACCTAAGTGGCGATCCAACAAATGAGGTTGCTCCTGGTACTTGTCCATTATAGCTGAAAAGGAAAAGATACCTCTAATAAGCTATTGAAATGAAAGGCTCTTACAGGCATGAGTTGTGAGATACGCTCTGATGCTGAAGAGCTTTAGCTTAAGATTTCAGTATCCTTGAGCTAAGTGCTGGCACCCTCTGTAAGCGAGGTCAGAGAGTAAGAACACTGCAGAGAAGCAACTGTAAAAATACAGTCTGTCCACTTCTGTAGTGCAATCCTTTACCTACACAGAACCACAAACTGCGTTCCAGGAGTCTCTCAAATTACTGTGGACAAATCTCAGGGCTAGACAAAAGAAGCAATTGCTCAGTTTGTTGCTGTCCTTCACTGCAGAGCTCTTTGTGGCTCTCCTTCCCCAAGCACAACTTACCAGCAAGCCACTTCTGATGGAACTCTGCAAACACCTCGCAATTTTCAGAGCTAGTTTTTTATTTTGAAATAGAACACATGAAAATATTCAGCAAAGAACAAAGAATCCTTGACAAATTTTAACCTGGACAAATACAAACTGTAGCTATGACTATCTGTGCTCCTCAAAACTTTTCACATTACTTACTTTATCTTGCTGCCAGTAACACGTTATCTTCCTTTTGGGAACTGACTTGAGGAAAGACAAATTGAAGCTGAATATTGAAAAAAACTAAGAACAACCTGCCACAGTTCTTAGAAACAAAAGCATTTCAATTTAAACCTAGAATCAATGAAATGCAGCTATAGAAATGAAGCTGGATTTCAGAAGAGATCATCATGTGATCCAGAATTGTGCTAGAGATTGCTCGGGTCTTTTAGCTATTTGGTCAGAAAATCACTTTTCAATTAGAAAACTAAAATACCTTCTCAATCTCTTCTTTTCCTACATTTGTTTCTCTCTCAAACAATTTTGCTCTCTATCTCTTTTTCTGCTTGTCACATTGACACTTAGATTTAAGACATAACTTCAACAATGCTGTCGTTGACCAGTGGATGACATTGCACAACCACTTTCAAGACACCAGCCAGTCCGACAGCATCCTTGCAGCAACTTGTGCAGTTCCACTGGGATGCCATAGCGCTGTCTCCTATCAAGAGGGAAGACCGAGTTCCTAGTCATCACTCCTAATCATCACTAACTCCCCATTGTAATTAATAATGCCTTAGGCTGTGTCCAAATAACAGAACTAGTGAATACAAGAAATTCCATCAACACTCAACGCAACAGCTCTCAAGCAGAAGTGGAACTGAACAGCAAATTCCACATCTTGCCGAATTGTTTTCCCAGATCAGAGTCTGGCAATCTAAACTAAAACCCTAAATCTAAATGCTGAAGAGAATGAACGGAAAAAAAGTTCTTCTAATGCTATTATTTCAGAAAAAGGTCTTTCTAAATTTTCCTACAAAATAATAGTTGCAGATTAAACTATCTTCCGAACTTCCGTTTCTAACAGTTCAGAAAAAAATGAGCATCACAAGTTTTTGTGAATGCTTTGGAGAACTGCATTAAAATCCTCTGTAACTGATGATCACTGTGTTATCTGCATACAGATTCAAGGTATTCCCTAAGCTTCAATGTTATACCCCTCACATTTAGCCTGTTACCATATTTGGGACATTTTGCCCAAGAAAGATTAAATGATAACTTACGACACTAAATATTCTACCCAAATAGCGAACAACGTGTACAGCAGCTATCAGTTTTAAGTATATTAACACTGCATTTACTGGGCAGTGCTATGCACACAGAAAGTTCATAAGTATACTTTAAATACTCAGAGACAGTACACATGTAAGACAGGGAGGCACAGCAAGATGATGCGTTCGAGATGATGGCCTTTCAGATCCTGTAACGGCTTTTCTGTCCCATCAAAGTCTACCATTTCACCTGTGACACCGAACCATCAACACAAATATGAGTGTTCTTGCTACTTCTTTCTGAACAGTTACATGTCCGTCATTACCCTCCTCAGATGGAACAGTCAGTTAAGTCAACCGCGTACAATACTACTGAGTAACTTTTTTTTCCAAATTTTGGGGTTTCTGGTTTATTGTTTGCCTACCTGGTTTCCTTTTGACAAAAACACAGACACCGGATCAATACTTTGACTACGTACAATACTACCGAGTAACTTTTTTTTCCAAATTTTGGGGTTTATTGTTTGCCTACCTGGCTTGCTTTTGATAAAAACACAGACACCGGATCAATACTTTGACTTTTAAGTTTTTGCAATTCACCATTTTTGCAAAAGTACTGCAAAACGTTAGTCCACTTAATTTGATTTGTAAATACATGAAACTTCAAATGAACTTTCGTAAATCATCTGGTCAGAATACAGGATCCAATACACAGATGTGCATTATAACAGGCTAATTACCTAGGACACTGCTACATACAGGTAATTATACCATTCTATATTCAGCTGAGGTCTAGAAGCTGAACAGCTTTCATTATATGGCACAAAAACTCAGATACTAAGTCAGATCCAAGTTGCCTCCACTCGGAACCAATTACATGACCTGTATGGGTTCAACTGCCCTTCTTACTTCCTATGAAACATAAAAGTAAAAATGTGAAATTATCACTTTCAAGCTCAAAATGTATGCATTTTTAACAAGTAATTAGGTACAAAAATGGCTTTGACAGACATACAAACTTCAACTAAATTACTGCCTGCATGTGAATAGGAAACTAGAGGCTAAACATGTGTCAGAATTCAGATTTCTTAAATCTAAGAGCTGGGGTTTAAATACCACATTGTAATGTGGTATATGTGGAAAACAACATGAGTGAAAAAATAAATCTAAACTACCTGTTGATAAAGTCCCAGCGTTATCACTAACCCAAAATTAGCGGTTTAGTCCTTTTTTGGTAATAAATTCCTTATACAACGTAAGAACACGCTCCCTTTGGATGATGTGCTTACCTATGAATTTTTCCACGATCATTTCTCGAGTCACCTGATCCGCAAAGACTCCCCTCAGGTCCCCGATGAGGCCCCCGACTTCGCGACTCTCCGTGAAGCTCTCCAGGATGTTTCTCGTGGCGGTGCCACCCGGCTCCTGCGCCCTGCCTTCCTCTGGCTCCATCTCGCCC